TATACATAGGCATTTGAATAACAAAAAGTAACAGTCCTTTGCACTGGGAAAAAGATTGTGCACACACCCACAAAAAGAAATAAAAATAGTTGGTATTTTATTCTGCTGTCGTCAGCTTGGTATGTGTGGTTTTGTTTGCTGCTGCTTTCCCCCCTCTCCTGCTAGCAGCATGGTCACGACAAACCAACCCCTAGTCTAGGACAGCTAGGAAGTGTTTAGGACAGGTCTGGAATACACACCTTGGTAGTAGGCCGGCTCCAGGGCTGAGGGCTCAATGGGGCTCCTGGTGGCCACCGCGGCGCTGCCCAGTGGCAGGCTGGCAGGCAAAGAGGCGCTGTAGGGCGAGTACTGTAGCGCCTGCTCATATGCCTTGAAGTCCAGCTTGTGCTGCTGATCCGAGGACATGAGGTTGTTGATGGAGAAGGGGTGGTTGAAGGAGTAGTGGGGGTCCCCTTTCAGGTGGAGCTGGGACTCGTGGGGTGCCAGACCGTGCACTGGGTGGGAGGGGGGCACAGATACCAGAGCCCCAGGCCCGGAGCTGATCGGGGGCGCAGCTGAGGAGGCTGGAGTCTTCAACTCCGAGGCGCCCCCTGTCGCCGTCGCCCCGCTGTGGTCCAGAGTCTGGGGGCTGGCAGTGGGCCCCGGGGCCGGTGCGCCCTCTAGCTGGCCGGCCTTACCGTGAACCCCTCGATGAAGGGGCGAGTCCCCGCTGCTGTTGGCCGAGGCCGAGGGGTCCTTTCGGCTCTCAGGGCCGCCCTTGGCGCCACCACTGCCCCCGCTCCCGCCCCCGGCCCCAGGCTGCTTCTCGCACTTGAAGCGCTTCTGGCGGCGCAGGTAACAGCCGTTTTCGAACATGTTGCCGGAGTCCGGGTGCAGCGTCCAGTAGGAGCCCTTGCCCGGCTTGTCGGGGGAGCGCGCCACTTTGACGAAGCAGTCGTTGAAGGACAGCGAGTGGCGGATGGAGTTCTGCCAGCGCTGCTGGTTCTGCCGGTAGAAGGGGAAGAGGTCCATGATCCACTGGTAGATCTCACTCAGCGTGAGCATCTTGCTGGGGGCCTGCTGGATGGCCATGGTGATGAGCGAGATGTAGGAGTAGGGCGGCTTGGCATGGGGGTAGCTGCGCTTGAAAGTCTTGGCGTCGCCACTGCCCGCGGCCCGGCTGCGGCCCAGGTTGGACGGCGCGTAGGCCATGGGGCTCATGCAGGGGTTCATGGCTGCGGCGTAGGGGCCCAGGCCGTTCATGGAGCCTGCAGGCTGCGCGCCCATGGCGCCCATGCCCCCGGGGCTCAGCGTCGTCCCCATGGCCGTCACTCCCGCGGCTGTCATGCTGTTCATGGCGCCCGCGGAGCCCCCAGGCATGCCAGCCACCGTGCCAGGGCTCAGGCCGGCGCCCAGGCCCGGATTTGCGTAGGACATATTGAACGAAGCTGGGGTCATGTTGCCGCTTGTGGTCATGGTGTTCATGGTCATGTAGGTGTTCATGGAATTCATGGAGCCCAGGCCCGAGTTCATGTTGCTGACCGGGACTGAGGAATAGGCCTGGAGTGGAGAAAGCGGGCGGAGAGGCCCCGAAGGGCAGAGTTAGCAGTGCGCGCACTCCGCGGCAAGAGGAGAGCATAGGGCCCCTTACCCAGGGCAAACCGGCAGGCGCTCTCCCCAGAACGAACAAATGTCTTGCACCACGGGGAAAAAACCCTAGCGTGGCAAGCATGAAAGACGAGCTCACAGCAAATGTCCCCAGGAAAATGTGTAATCCCCTTACACTCCAGACGCCAGGGCTGGCTTCTGGGGTCTCTCCACCAGCTCTTCCTTCCAGGCCAGGAGGCCTCCGCAAAGAAAGTGCCCTTTGGTTAAAAGGAGTTAAAACTCCGAAAACAGGATTAATCTCTGACCCCTCTGGTTATTCACTCCACCGTTAGAGTGCGGTGGGTTGGCAACAACTCAGCACCCATCTCACCTACACCTGCCAGGCTGGCTGACCAAACAGCAGCCATGTATCTGTGGGGTGGCTATTAATTAAACTCTCTTGATAGAATAAAGCATCCACGGCCATATGACGATCCATTTCTCAACTGGCTTCACTGTCTTGGCAGTTTTTGTCAAATGGTGACTTTGTGTTGTTTATTATATTTAGAAATTGTATTTTCCATCTACCTGTAGCAACTGTAATATCGAGAGAAACTCGCAGGTTAAATGGGTTTTGGGAAAAAAATGTAAAATAGACCTACAACAGGAGAAGGTTCAGGAAGGGTTGCATGATAATATCAATGCAGTTAACTGTAACATGACTACATGTACACTTCTTCGAGCCATTCAAAAATGTGCACTGATTTCATTACATATTTCCAGTCCCCTGATGTTTGAAGATTTTGTGACACAGCTTGTTGAAATATTCATCTATTTTTTTTTCACACACTGACATGTTGCTGCTGATCATTACAAACCCTGGCTAATAGTTTCCAAATACTTTAAAATTCCAAAATCAAAGGTAAGGAACCCCTTTTCCCACAGAGGGCTTAATTAACTAGTGGGTTGAGAGGACTGCATTTGAATTAAACCTGAGAAAGAGTTCTGAGCTCCTTTTAAAATCACGAGTAGGAGAAAACCCTTATCCACAGAAATTTTGGAATGCAATAGATATGTTAAAAATATACAGTCCAGACATATAACAGCTACTTCTCTGATAACTTAGTAAAAATAATTATATTCTTAAATTTATTTTCGTCAGGAAATACGACTTTATTTTAAAACAAAAGGAGAACAGATTTAACTGGGCACACGCTGCTATGGTATATGCAAATAAACCCTGAGTTAAGTTTGTGAAGATATAAATATACAAATCTAAATCAATTAATTACCATGACAATATTTCCTGATGCCATATTTTTCTATGTCTTAAACTATGTTTCACTTTTTTTTTTCTTTTCCTCTCCCCAAAACTGTCCAAGGCAGTTTCAATAATGATAAACTTTCTGAGAGGTGATCGCCATTTGTTTCCAGAGAAATTTACTGGTGGTGGCCCGGCCAGTACCTGATTTTCCTCGCAATCCCTTTGTGCACACTGTAAAATAAACTATATGAACGTGCCACCATGGGGACAATAAAGAGAAACAGGTTCGCCTGGAGGAAAAGTCAGCTTGCACCAGCGCCACCCAGCGGTTCTAGAGAAGAACGAACACACTTCTCCTCAAACAGCTTTTGAAGAAGTTTTATAAAATTTTGGAATCGGCTCCTTATTAAGTCGCTCAACTGAGCGGCCAAGAGCTTTCATCGGAACACCTCTGCGAATTCAACTGCGGGAGGAAGAGCCGCCCTTGTAGGCAAACGATGGCTTTGTCACAGTGGCCCCAACTCCTGCCAGCGCCCACCCGCCAACCGCGGCACCTCGGGCCGGCTCCGGCTCGGGCTCCCCACGCGGAAGTGGAAAATGCTTCCCAGGGCGGGTGCTTTCAAAGCCCAGAATATCCTGAAATCCTTTCGCCCGTTCCCAGCGCCGAGAGCCGTGTCCTGGGCCCCCT